GAGAGAGAGAACCAGGCATTTGTGTTTTTAGAAACTCCCTAGGTGATTCCCATGTGTTGCCAAGGTTGAGAACCACTGCTCTAAGAGGATTTTTCATGTCAGCTGCTGAGAAAATTTATTTTCTATATTTTCTTTTCAAGTGGATACCCTTCAAATGTAGTAAATGTACACAGATGCACATTTCTACCAATGATGCTGACATTATTTAGAATATTTTTAAAATTACTTTTAGTCAATTTGTCAGTCACCACTAGAAAATTCTTTATCCACAGCAGAATCTTGGAGAAAGCCGCAGAGCTATTTGTTCACCTGGGAGATGGTCCCTCCTGCTGACTGTGCCTGCATCTACAGCAGGACGAATGTGGGCTCCATACCCTGCACCAAACTCTCCCCATCTCACCTTATTAATACTTAGAGTGATAAAGGAAACTAGACTTAGTACTGAGTTTCTACCTCCTTCTCAGAAGAGCTCAGAATCAATCCCCCTGTGCCTTTTCATTTACCTCAGTCACCACAAGCCCTAGTCTCTCCTAGAGCATCCCTTACCCTGGACTCAAAGGCTTTGGGTTGCGAACATCCCCTAATCTGATTCAAGCCCCCAACTCTCCAACACTTGAATCTGAAACCCTGACATCTACAAAATCCTCTGCACTCTTCATCTCTCCTTTGAATGTTTCCTTCACCTTCTTAATCTGACTGAAACCTGGCTATGCCATAGGGGCAAAGCTTTCTCAACATCTACAATATCCAGCACAAACAGGAGACACCCAGGAAATGCTGAATAAGAGAAAAACTTGTAGTACCATTAATAATAGCTTAGACCCTGGGTAGAGGGACAAGATACCATGAGAGAAATGCATGATGAAAGAAAAGAGATTGAATACTAACTTCAGCAGACAGGCAAGTGAGTGAAGAGAGTAAGTGTGAGAACCACTGAAAGGCAGAACATAAAGAAAGAGATAGAGACACACAAAAAAGTGAGAAAGACAAAAAAGAGAAGTTCATGGAAGCCTAGAGAAGAGAGTGGTGTTCTAGAGCATTGTTGGTCAGAAACAAGAGCAACTGTTCTAAATTTAGCTGGAAGAAACAGAACATGTTCGGTGAGTAAATTTGGAGGACCATTTAGACATTGGAAGAAAGAGTTTAAAAGGAGGAAGAATGAGACAAAATGAGGAGGAACAGGTCGCAGATAAGGAGAGGTAAATTTGGTAGCCCCAAGAGGTCAATGGGCACATTCACTGTTGGATCTGACCAAACAGAAGAGTACAGAGACAGAACTTCCTAAACCTGACTCCTAAATGCTATGAAATGCTATGGCAACAAACAACCCCATCCTCATGTGAGTGGTAAAGGAAAGTCATATATATATATATATGCTGTTTATAGTACTTGGGGGCAGAGGAATCCCCCCACCACCTTGCTAGTTCCTTGTTGGAAGAAATCCTGGGGACTGGAGAGTAAGTCAACCGGTCAATCAAAGATAAGCTGATGAGGGACAGTAACGGGAGGTAGACGACAGGGACTGTTCATCAGCTTGCCTCCAAGCCAGCAACCTGTGAATGCTGTAGATCAGTTGTATCTCCTAAATCAAATGTAACTCGTAAATAAATGTTTATGGATCTCCTTTGTGTCACCTGTCATTGATAGCACCATTAGTGTACAAAAGGAAACTCAATGTCTGCTCAATGGTGTGCTGGGAAACAACTGTTTGTTTCTTACTTTTACAGTAGCTGCAGATTTCATGGTGTAAATACTCCCATCACAACCAATTTCAAGTCAACAACATCATGGCCCTGAAAGTGGACCTGAGTGGAGTTGTGCACAATGAGTTTTGTGAGCCAGTGTGGGCTGGTTCCAAAGAGTCAAGTGTAATCGGTTTGGACCAGGGCTGGCACAGACAATGTTCAAAAGCCTTTGGGAGATTATGTATATGAATCAACTGGGGACCTTACTAAAATGCAAGTTTTGACTCAGTACATGCTGCTGGACCCTAATAAGAAAGGTGAGTGGACTAAAGGGGAAAAAAAGTCATTCACAGTCTTACCACTGTCTGAAGTATTTGAGAGAGAGGCTATGTAGAGAAGCCATAAATTGGAAGTCCACGATTTGTGACAGAGCCCATAGAAATGTTTGCATTTATCCAATTTCATTTTACTTTTTAAATTTGAGTTAGATGCCAGCATTATCAAAGTCTGTGCTCCCAGCATCTAGGTGGGTGCAGGGGCAATAACAATAATAACAAAAGAAGATGTGTTGATACTGGGCATACACCCCCGTATGTTGCCCCTTGCCCTCTTAGGGGAGGCAGTCCTTTTGCCATTGTTGCCAACTGGTGATCTTCATTGCTTTGCATTTCCTATCTCATCCATGAAGAATTTGATGTGCATTCATATTTTAGGTTTTTACATAACTATATTTTCCTCCTCAGTTGCACTACCTTTCTGTCTCATCTCCCATCATGCCCCACATATAAACTGTATATTCTTGAAATGCCTTGCACAGTAATCTTAAAATATACTATCTTCTTTCTTCCCTCCAAACTTTGCACTGCTCCCATTCCTAGAACACACTCCATCCTTCTCTGCTGGAAACAGTCTAAATTGTTGTTCGAGACCCAGCTCAAACATATCTCCTTAGGAAGACCTTCCTGGCTCTTCTGTGCTTCTATAGCAGAGTGAATCTTCTATCAAATCTTATTTTTCATCATTTGGACTTATCTCTTATTCTCTGAGGTTCAGAAGGGCATAGATGGACTTTATCCATTTTTGTATTCCCAGAGTAGAATGCTTTGGTGTACAGGACATCCTCAATAACTTTGTAAAAATAATAAATTAATTTTAAGCTCTTAGATTATTCTCTCTTAACCTTTCTTTTTCTAAATTTATTAAGGGGTTTTTGCAATTATTATCCTATCTTATAATCCCAAGTTAATTCTATTTCTATATCTATCTCCAGCCCCTCAGCAGGCTCTCTCCTCTCCCCTGAACTTCAATTTTGGTGTTGTTTACTTGATTTGTAAGAATATCATTTATTTCATAAATCTGGTCCCAGATAAACATAGGGCTCCTCCAATTAAACACCCCTTTATGGAATTGATAACTTATACTTTCGTGGCATGACCATTTTTTACCCCAAGCACTTTTATTAACACACTTTATTCTCACACTAACCCTATAAAATACATGAACAACATATTACCCTCTTTTAGTACATAGAAGCTAAAGCAAAATGTCCTCAATGCAGTGGGAAGAAGGAAAATATAAAACTTAAGAAAAACCTTGGCCATGCCCAACTAAGTCCTCATTAAGGAAGATTCACTGAGTGGCCTTCCCTGGTTATCAGTTCCCAGTACTGCTGGGGCTAAGGCTCCGCCTCATTCCACTTTCAAACTTCTCTGATTCCTATACTTTATTGAAAAACTGAGACCCAGACATGTTGAATTTACTTGAATTACTGCCAAAGAAGCAACTCGGGTCTTTTGATTCCCAGCATAAGATTCTATTCTGCCTATTTATGTTCTCCTTCACAACAGAGCTATAGTCATCCAGCAATACACATGTGCTTTAATCTGCCTTCACAAACATTTAGAAATAAAAGCACTGATGCCTTTTCCTCAAGAAACAAGCTCTGTATGATGATCAAAAAGTTTCTCATTCAATGTATGGAGCGAGTTGCATTGGGCAACGCTAAAATGCCCAAATATAATTATTCCGTCAGTGTGCATGAGAAAGTCTCTGATCCATAAATCAATTTACTACTTTCCACATTATGTGTCACTTTCAAGTCAATGCTCTACATTCAGTGTTTTTGGAAATACTTACATTCAGTGATTTTGGAAATATTTACCTTATAGATGAGATAAGAATCAAAGATTTTAGCATGCTGACCCACCAACAATAAACTGAAAGCAAGTTAATGAGAAAAAAGCAATACCAGAGAAATAAATGGAAGACCTCAAATGGGTAAGGGTGGGATGAAACACCCTCCATGAGTTTAAAAGGAGTTAGTAATGGGGTGGAAATGGCAGAGCTTGAAGGCATAAATGATCCATTTCTCTCACATGTCCAACCATTTTGGAAGAATTTTGATGTGCCCACAAGAACACATGAAAATGTGGGTACAACTAGTACTCTTTCCCCAAGGTGCACCATAAGCAGTGTGATAATACAACACACTGCTGCTTATGGGATCACAACCAGGCACTCTGGAATGGTTGAGTTATCTGGGGAATTATGGTGTCTATTTTTTTTTTTTTTTTTTCCCAATCTCCACACACTGCTCTTAACTCGGTGACTCCAAATGGGCTTCTCTGCCATTTCTGTTCCCCTTTTAGGGAAGGAAAATTTCATCTCTCCTTCAGCAGTCAGGAGGGCTTAAGGTTTCTGGGTTTCTTCTTCCTGTGTGTCTGTGTTAACACAACTTTTTAAAAGAAGGGCTAGTCCAAGAAATTTTTTTCCTGCAAAAGTATTATATTTGTTTTAGAAAGTTTTAAAGTCCCTATGTATGCTTGTAGGTACAAGAACCTGTCTGGAAGCCACACAAGAAACCTGGAAGTGAGCCTAGAGGTTAGGGGAATGAAGGGATGAGATTTTTAACTTTAGTGTATGTTTTGAATTATTTGAAATATTTTAAACTTATTTTTATTAAGAAAAAGAATGGAGGGAAGGAAGACTGGTAATTATGGAAAAGGAAGCCGAAATCAATGGAGAGGGGTGCAACTGCGCACCTCACTGCCCTGGATCTTAGAAAAGCCTTCCCTCAACCCCTGTCTCTTAACAGACAATGAGAAAACGCGGGACTGAATCATCGGCGGCAAAAAAAAAAAAAACTTATCTCCGAGTGAGCGCAGGGAGCCAAGTACTAAGAAAGGACACCGGATTCAGTGGAGAGAGAAATGTAAGGAAACTAGAGTGTACCTGTGCGCGCGCGCGCGTGCATGTATGTGCGTGTGTGTGGCAGGGATCCCCGAAGGAGCAGGAGCGGGGCGCGGACTCTCTTACCCCCTAGCCAGTTGTCAGAGATGTTCTGGAGCATCGTGACTGGGATGCAGAAAAACGTGATGAGCAGGTCGCTGAGCGCCAAGGAGCAGATGAAGATGTTGGTGACCGTGCGCATGGCCTTGCTGCGGGTCACCACGTAGACCACCAGAGCGTTGCCAAAGAGCGCCAGGGCGAAGATGAGCACGCTGGTGAACACGAAGGCCCGCTTAGCGCTCCCGGGCAGCTCTGGGGTGTAGACGAGCGGCCGCAGCCCGTACAGCGCGATGAACTGCTCCCGCGTCAGGTTGTGGCCCCGCAGCAGGCGGGAGAACTGCTCCGGGGTGATGTTGAGCGCCTGCATGCCGCGAGCTCTCCGGCGCGCCGGCTACTGCCGGGCCATCCGCGTCCCAGCGCCGCGCGGGCTGCAGCGATGGCCGGGCTACAGGGGATGGTCGGGCTGCAGGAGATGGCCGCACTGCAGGGGACAGCCCCGCGGCCGCCTCCGTTCCTCGGCTCCCAAAGCTGGCGCGCGGGAGGACTCTCGGCGGCACCCGGGAGATTCGGTAAAGAAGAGGGGCGCAGGGACCACACCCACAATCGGATGGGAAGCCAGACTCAATGCCAGAAACAAAATGTTGACAGTTCATAGAAAGTTCTTCCCCGACTCTTCCGTAAGGCAGCGAGCGCTGCGACCGTCCGGAACGCTGGCGCGCCACGCGAGGGTCCCCGCGTCTCTCACTCCCAAACTCTGGCCACTCGCTGCGGACACGGCACCAGCTCCGGGAGCGGCAGGGGGTGGGGCTGAGCTCGGCGAGCCCCTCCCCGCTGTAGGGCACGGACCCCGCCTCCCCGCATCCCTCCTCCTGCCCTGGGACATGCTTATCTGTAAAACTCGAGGTTTTCCACAGTTTCACAGTTTCTCCTCTTGAGAAATAATGTGAGTCTCAGCCACCCAAGGCAGATAGGATTCATTTTAAACAATTTTCTGTATTTAACAAAATAATTGGGGGGTGGTTAGTGTTTCGAAATTGCCTATAGAGTACAATGTTCATCTGGGGAATGGGCCACTTGAGACTCAGTCCCCACCACTCACAATATGTCCATATCGCGAACATGAATGTGCCCCCGAATCTAAAATTTTAAAAGGTTACATATAGGACACAGGAAGTTTCAGAGATAATACAGAAAGGTCCCGTGTACTCTTCACCCTGTTTCCCCCATCTGAGTCTCCAGTGTCCATTATACCATTCTCTATGTCTTTGCATATCTCTAGTTTAGCTCCCACTTATAAGTGAGAAGATGCAGTGTTTGGTTTTCTGTACCCGAGTTCGTTCACTTAGGATGATGTTCTCCAATTCCATCCAAATTGCCGCAAAACACAATATTTCATTCTTTTTTATGGCTGAATAATATTCCATGGATATGTATTCCACATTTTCATTATCCACTGGTCCGTTGGTGAGCATTTAGGTTGATTCCACATCTTTGCAATTGTGAATTGTGCTGCAATGAACTTGTGAGTGTGGATATCTTTTTTGAATAATGACCTCTGTTCCTTAGATACCTAACAATGGAATTGCTAGATCAAATGGTAGATTTACTTTTAGTTCTTTGAGTAATCTCCATACTTTCTTTCCACAGAGGATGTTCTGATTTACACTCTGATCCACAATGTATGAGTGTTTCCTTGTTCCTATATCCACAACTGCATCTATTGTTTTATTTTATGTTATTTTTAATAATGGTCATTCTGACTGGTATAAGGCGGTATCTCATTATGGTTTTAATTTGCATTTCCCTGATGATGAGTGATGTTGAACTTTTAAATATATGTTTGTTGGCCATGAGTACATCTTCTTTTGAGAAAGTTATGTTCATTTTGGTTGCCCACTTTTTAATAGGGCTATTTGCTTTTTTTGGTTTTTTTTTCTTCCTTGCTCATTTGTTTGAGTTCCTTGCAGATTCTGGATATTAGTTCGTTGTCAGAGATATAGTTTGTGAATATCTTCTCCCATTCTGTAGGTTGCATATTTGCTCTGTTGATTTTTTCTTTTACTCTGCAGAAGCTTTTTCATTTAATTAAGTCCCACTTGTTTATTTTTCTTTTAGTTTCATTTGCTTTTTGGGTTTTTGCCATAAATTATTTGCCTAGACCAATGTTTAGAAGAGTTTTTCCTATGTTTTCTTCTAGAATTTTTATGGTTTCAGGTCTGACATTTAAGTCCTTAATCCATCTTGAGTCAATTTTTGTATATGGGAAGAAAGAGGGATCTAGTTTTCTTTTCTTTTCTTTCTTTCCTTCCTCCCTCCCTCCTTTCCTCCCTCCCTCCCTTCTTCCCTTCCTTCCTTCCTTCCTTCCTTCCTTCCTTCCTTCCTTCCTTCCTTCCTTCCTTTCTTCATGCTATCCAATTTTCCCAGTACCATTTCTTGAGTAGGGTGTCCTTTCCCCAGTGTATGTTTTTGTCTGCTTCGTCAAAGATCAGTTGGTTGTAGGCATTTGGGGTTATTTCTGGATTCTTTATTCTCTTCCATTGGTCTGTGTGTGCTCTTGTACCAGTACCATGCTGTTTTGGTTATTACAGCCTTGTAGTACAATTTGAAGTCAGGTAATGTGATGCCTCCAGCTTTGTTCTTTTTGCTTAGAATTGCTTAGGCTATTCTAGTTTTTTTTGACTCCATATGGATTTTATAATTGTTTTTTCCTAATTCTTTGAAAAATGACATCGGTAGTTTAATAGGAATTGCACTGAATTTGAAATTACTTTGGGTAAAATGGTCATTTTAACAATGTTGATTCTTCCAATCCATGTGCATGGGATGTTTTTCTATTTGTTTGCGCCCTCTACAGTTTCTTTCATCAGAGTTTAGTAATTATCCTTGTAGAGATCTTTCAACACCTTGGCTAAATATATTCATAGGTATTTTAGTTTTTTGGTTGCTATTGTAAATGGAATTGAGTTCTTGATTTGATTTTCAGCTTTGGTGTATAGCAGTGTTACTGATTTGTGTGTGTTGATTTTGTATCCTGAAACTTTACTATATTAATTTATCATGTGCAGGAGTACTTTGGAGAAGTCAAACGATTCTCTAGGTGTAAGATTATATATTCAGCACACAGAAATAGTTTGATTTCTTATTTTTCAATTTAGATTGCCTTTCTTCCTTCCTTCCTTTTTTTTTTTTTTTTTTTTTTCCTGACTGCTCTGACTAGGACTTCCAGTACTATGTTGAATAAGAGTGAAGAAAGTGGGCATTCCTGCTTTGTTCCAGTTCTGAGGAGGAATGCATTAAACTTTTCTCCATTCAGGATGACATTGGCTGTGGGTCTGTCATATATGGCTTTTACTGTTTTGAGGAATGTTCCCCCTATACTTATTTTGTTGAGGGTTTTTATCATAAAGAGATGCTGGATTTTTATCAAATGCTTTATCTGCATCTATTAAACAATGAGATTATTTTTTATTTTAATTCTGTTTATGAAGTGGATCATTTTTATTGATTTATGTATTTGAATCATCCTTGCATTCCTGGGATAAAACCCACCTGGTCATGGCATACTTTTTAAAGTGTGCTGTTGAATTTGGTTTGCTAATATTTGTTGTGGATTTTTGCATCTATGTTCATAAGAGATACTGGTCTGTAGTTTTCTTTTCTTTTCTTTTCTTTTCTTCTTTTTTTTTTTTTCTCTATCTTTTCCTGGCTTTGGTGTTAGAGTGACACTGGTTTTGTATAATGAGTTAGAGAAGAGTACTTCTTCAATCTTGTGGAATAGCTTCTGTAAAATTGACCAGTTCTTTGATGCCAATGTTTCTTTGAAAGTCTGGTAGAATTCAGCTATGAGTCCATCAGATACTGGACTTTTTTTGTTGGGAGTCTTCTAATTACTATTTCAATCATGCTATTGATTATTGGTCTATTCAGGGTTTCTATTTCTTCTTGATTCAAGGTTGAGGAGGTTGGATGTTTCCAAGAATTGATTGATTTCCTCTAGATTGTTTAGTTTGATAGCATAGAGGTATTCATACTAGTCTTGGATGATCTTTTGGATATATTTAGTGTCAGTTGCAAAGTCTCCATTTTCATTTCTGACTGTGATAATTTGAGTCTTCTCTATTCATTTCTTAATTAATTTAGTCAGTGGACTAACAATTTTGTTTATGGTTCAAAGAACCAACTTTCTGTTTCATTGATTCTTTGTATTTCTTACTTCAATTCCATTTAGTTCTGCTTCGATCTTCATTATTTCTTTTCTTCTGCTAGCCTTGAGGTGTAACTTGTTTCACTGTTATCATTCATTATGAAGAATTTTTAAAGTCCCATATTGATTTCATTGTTGGCCCAGTGATCATTCAGGAACAGATTATTTAGCTTCCATGTGTTTGTTTGGTTTGGTGAGTTCTTCTTGGAGTTAATTTCTAGTTTTATTTCACTGTGGTCTGAGAAGTTGCTTGATATGATTTTGATTTTTCTGAATGTATTGTAACCTGATTTTTGACCTGTTATATGGTCTATCTTGGAGACTGTTCCATGTGCTGATGAGAAAAATGTTTATTTTGTTGTTTAGGGATGGAATGTTTGGTAGATGTCTTTTAGTTCCATTTGTTCAGTTACTCCAATGTTTCTAGGTTGATTTTCTGTTTTGATGACCTATTGCTGTCAGTGGAGTGTTGAAGTCTCCCACTATTAATGTATTACTGTCTATCTCTTTTTTTAGGTCCAGTAGAATTTGTTTTATATGGGGGCTCTGACATTAGGTGCATATATATTTTAAATTGCTATGTCTTCTAATTGAATTGATCCTTTTATCATTATATAATAGCCATTTTGTCTTTTTTACTGTTATTAATTTAAAATGTGTTTTATATGATAAGAGAATGGCTATTTCTGTTCATTTTGGGTTTCCATTTGCATGGGATATTTTTCTCCACCCCTTTGCCTTGAGTTTATATGAGTCTTTGTGAGTAAAGTAGGTCTCTTGAAGGCAGCAGGTATTTGGGTTGTGTATTTTTTAAATCCATTCTGCCAGTCTATATCTTTTTAGTGGGACATTGAGACCATTTATGTTTAGGGTTAATAATAATATGTAAGGTATAGTTTCATTCATATTTCTTCTTATCTGGCTGCTTCATTCATTTATTTATTTTCTCTATTGTATTGTGTTCCATAAAGCCTGTGAACTTTGTGATTTCCAGCATTTTTCTACTGAGGTGTTTTGACCCTTTGTTTCAGTGTCTAGAACTCCTTTACTCAAAGGATTTCTTGTAGAACCAGTCTAGCAGGAATAAATTCCCTCAGCATTTGCTAATCTGCAAAGAATTTCATTTATAATTAATTTATGAAACCTAGTTTTGTAGTATACAAAATCCTTGGCTAACTGTAATTCTGTTTGAGGAGACTGAAGATGGGGCCCCAGTTCCTTCTAGCATTTAGGGTT